CTGGGAACTCAACTGCGTTTTAGAAATTCCTCAAACTGATTAATTTAAACCAAGCTTTACTCACATTATTTTTAGTATTTTAAATGGTAACCATTCCAACCACTCACTCCCCATGAGTGATTACTAGCCCCCCTGCCCCTGTGGACACCAGCAGGCAGCTGCATCCCCCACACCCTCAGCATGGAACCCTTTTCTCCTTGCAAGTGCTCTCCAGGAGAGAAGCCATGCCCTGAGATGCCTCCGTTTGGTATGGGGACCCCTCTTGGTTTCTCATCAAATGCCGCCGTGAGAGGTCCCTGCTCTTCACTCAGCAACACTCCCTGGTGGAGGTGGCACGTCTGTTCTTCACCCCCAGGCTGGCAGCTCCTGGGGCTGCTCGGTGACCCCCCTCTGTGGGTGCAGTCCACATTTGCAGGAGGAAGGAATGTTACAGAGAGCTCCACCTAAGCGCTCCAGCATGCTCCCTGAAGTAATCCTTGGAGTAGCTGTAGCCATGCTGACACCAGGTAAGCCCACTCACTCGTGCCACTTGATGTTATTGCCCCTAAATCTACTGTCATGACTCCTCTGTTGTCTCAGCTTGAGCTTTGGCACCAGGTCTGAGGAAGAAGGGCATCCTAAAGGCAGGGGACCCCATCTCCTCATCTAGGACATGTTAGGGCATCGTGATGCCACTGCCACTGTCCTTAGCCTGTCACCAGCACAAAGGTCCACATGGGAGTCCTGCTCCTGCGCCATAGTAGATGGGCATGTCTTCCTCAGAGGTATCATGCCATCCTGGCAGCCATGGACACATAGCACACAGCATGCTCTCATTCCTCCTCCAATTTGGACACGGGTTGTGTGTGGCTGGGGTCTCAGGATGGCACTCTGCTTCACCCCATCCCACCTGGTCACCAAGGGCCAGTCCAGAGGAGCAGTGGGCAGCAGTGTTCTCGTCTGGCCAGCCTAGGCCCCTCCCACTCACTTGACTGCCCAGCATCCTTGCAAGGTACTTGGTGCACCCACTCTCCTTGTTTCCGACTGTCTGATGGATTCTGTTAAGTGGATGGTAGCTCGGCAGTCCCAAGAAAGCTTCCTCAGAGCCGCCTCTACCTCCTGGGACTCCCCTTCACTTTCTGATTTCTGGGAGATTCTGGCTCTTCTAGGCTGTGCTTCACTGGAGCTCTGCAGTTGGGTCTCTTTGCCCAAAGCACTGCAGATTCTTTGTTTATAACTCTTTTAAATGAAAACCTTTCTTAGCCCCCAAGGCCCAGAATCTGCCACAGGTCACTGATCCAGAGGACCTGTGTGATGCCTGCAGAAGGACCCTGCCTCAGCTCCAGAGGGTCCCCTGCTGTCATGGTGCCCAGTGCTCTGGGGCCCAGTGTGCATAAGCCTGCCGCTCTCCCTGCAGACCTCAGTCTAAGACACAGGCATCCACCTGTGCTGCTCATGGGGCTGGGCAGTAGCAGCTTTCAGGCTTGCTGAATGAATGAGCACCCTTCCACACACTATTGGCCATTCGGTTCTCAGCTGGTGTGAAAAACCTATACAGGTAGGTCTACCTCAAAGTCTTGTGCTGCCTTGTTCTTACTGATCTGTAGGACTCTTTGTGTGTTCTGGCGGTTCTCAACTGGTGTGAAAAACCTATACAGGTAGGTAGGTCTACCTCAAAGTCTTGTGCTGCCTTGTTCTTACTGATCTGTAGGACTCTTTGTGTGTTCTGGACTCTGGGAACTAGCCCAGGCCTGTCAGGTATACACCACTGTCACATGTACACACCTTCATCAGGTGCACACCACTTTCAGGTACACACCTGCCAGGTACACACCCATCACATACACACATCCATCAGGCATACACTTAACAGGTGTGCATCCCTATCAGACACACACCCATCAGGTACACACCTCTGTCAGGTACACACCTATCGGGCGAATACATCGCTGTCAGGTACACACTTATCAGGTATACACCCATCAGGTACACACCTCTGTCAGGTACACACCTATTGGGCGTATACACCTCTGTCAGGTACACACCTATTGGGCGTATACACCACTGTCAGGTACACACTTATCAGGTATACACCCATCAGGTACACACCTCTGCCAAGTACACACCTCCATCAACTATATACCTGTCAGATGGAGGTCCCTGTCAGATACATACCCGTCAGATACAAGCCTGCCAGGGACACAACCATTAGGTACACATCCTTGTTAGATACATGCCTGCCAGGTTCAAGTATGGGAATTCTTCTCCCAGTCTGTGTAGTGTTGATGGCCTGCCTCTGGTGGGCATGCTTTGTAAAATCCCCTACTTTGCAGGTAGGTGAACCTCTGAATACGATGGAGTAAACTGACAAAGTGTAATAAAGGTATAATGGTCTTTATTCCAGGTGGTCCTGACCTAAGCAGGTGAGCCCTAAAGGATGGGAGGAGTCAGAGACGTAAGAGCAGGGAAGCACTCCCGGTGGGCCTAGGGAAGCACTCTACCAAGCTGTGGGGAAGGGAAGGGTCCCGTGGAACAATCGATGGGCTCTGTAACACATGGAGTACCTTACTAGGCATTTTTTAAAGTTTATTTATTTACTCATGATAGACAGCCTGTGCATGAAGGTGGGGGGGCACCCCCAGAGAGTCTGGTCATGCCATGATCCCCTTCCGTAGCAGTCCAGCTTGTTCTCATCAGGATTTGAGCACACGCACGTACCCAACATCTTTAAGGTGGACCAGGTAAGGTTCCAACTCACAGTCAGGCCTATAGCTTCAAGCGCTGAGACTCAGTATGCCACCAACTCTGCCAGAGGCTGGGCTTTTCTGAGAGAAAGAGAGAGAGAAGATGCACGTGCACAGGGCAGAGAGAGGGGTGTTTCTCACAGGGTGTCATCATGATCCTCCTGCCCTGGCCTCCCAATGGTGTGCCACCTCACTTGGCCCGTTCAGGGTCCCAGTCACTGCATAGTGGCGCGCCCCCACTTGCACCACTGCAGCCGGCCATATGCATTTGAAATCTTTCCTTATATGTAGGCATGATACTGCTTCTTAAAACTATATAACTGTAATGACATAGGTTGCATCGCCTATGGACTTCACTCTTAGATAAATAGAGCAGCTAATAAATACCTGTTGTGAAAAGACGTGTGGTGCCTTGCAGCAATGAGAAATGCCGAGAAAAAGCTTCTCAGTTTAAAGACGAGCCAAGGTTCCCCGCACTCCTCCCCAAGATGTCCTGGCCACTGGAGATCCTCTCACGTGTTAGGACACAAGAAACAACTTTGGTCTTTTCAAGGAATAAGCAAAGGCAAAAACACTGAGGCAGCCTGCAACTAAAAATACAGCCCCACGCCCAGCGTGAACACGAGGACCTGTCAGAGCAGGGAGGAACCAGGTGCGTGCAGCAAGGCTGCCGGTGAGGGATCCCGCTGGGAGAAGCGTTTCTTAGCCAGCAACTTCCATGTTCTCTCTTTTTTACTTCAAACCACCCTGAAGATGGGAAAGAATAATACACCAAACCATTTGCTGCCAAAATTAGCCCCTATTTTGTGAGAAAAGAAATAGAAAACTCCTAATCTGCAGCTAACCTTTATTAATACAGAAGCAGTAGGAGGAGACATGACTCATAATGTAACATGTTATAATTCCCAGCCCTTCGGTTTTGCTATCTCAGCACAAGCTTTAGATATCTCCTTTGGCCTGATTATTTTTTCTATGCCTTTAAGAACAATTTATTTGTGTAAAGGATTATAAATAATTCAGCCCTCCGATGCATGCTGCCATTACATAAAAACGTTTGCTCCTTCATGTACACAGCACAATTAACACCAGGCTTTCTCTCTACGGCATGCTTAAAGCAGGTGGCCATGAGGCACTCGGCATGCAATACTGAGCTGCAGCATCATTTTTGGGTCACCCCAGCTCTGGGGTTCTCATTGTCTCTCAATAAACTCTGCTGACAAAGAAACTGGTTTCCTGTCACTAACCGAACTCAAGGAAGGCCAGTGGCTGAAAGCAAAACCCCAGCCCACTGGCACATGTAACGGTCAAGTCACCTTGATTCTGCCCTTCGCAAAATCTGCCCACATGCTGGGGGGGAAAAAAAAAAAAGCCGGTGCAAGATAAAACAAAAATTCTTTCAAATGTCTCTCTGGTGACCCTTCCATTCCCGACTCTTACAAAGAAATCAGAAATGACAAGGAGGGCTTCTCCTGGCACCAGCTCAATATCCAACATTCAGATGTAGGTGCATCTCTGCTCCCCAGGGATGGCAATCCGGGGGCTCCCAATTGTTCCCAGTGGTACACATGGCCTTGGGGGCCTCACCCATGCCCCATGCCAATCAAGGACTCCCAGGATGACTGCTCAGCTGGCCTCTCCCTGGGTGTCCACTGAATGGCTCATATTCGCGATCTCTGCTGTATGGAGGGCACCATGGGCCTCCCGTGCTGCCACTGTTTGCTGCGTCAATGAATGGGCCAGGAACACGGTGACAATCTGGAAGCCAGTAGCCACCTTCTGACTATACTTTCCTCTCCCCACCTCTTCTGACCCAGGAAGAAACCTCCTCGGGAAGATGAACTCTGCTTTTCCTGAGCTGGTCAGAGGCCACAACCAATGCTTACCTCACACTGCAGAAACTTTCTGGGGTTTTAACCTGTCCCATGCTGGAAGTAGATCCTATGGCAATTTTCCTCTAACAACCTCGAGGAAGGTGAGAGGTGGTAAAAGGCTTCCGACAAGTCTAACTACATGCCTGGCATGAAGCACTACCACTGGGATGCTGAGCCGAGACCAGGGCGCGCATGCACTGAGGCAGCCGTGCCCCTGGTAAAGGCAGGAGATGCACAGGTGCTCTGGGGCCACCATGAAATTATGAGTGAATCACAGCAGCAAATCACCTTTTCCAGGAGTCACTCAATAAAATACACTTCAAAACACAAGCCAAAAGGCTTTAATTAAGCAGTTTACATCCAGCAAAAGTCACTTTTTATCAGACTTTTACAGAGTTTTACTTACCCTGGAATGTGTGCAGTTTTCGTTTTTTGCTGATTGAGAGCAGGCTCCCTTCAATGTGAGAGGCCTTGAGATGACATCCCAGCAAAGCTGGGGTCACAGCCCCAGGCACTCGCCAGTGGGCTGTCAACCGCTCCTGCTTCTACACTCAACACGGAAGACTTCGCTCTGTGAAATGAGGAGAGCAATTACTTCACATTCATGTAACTCAGTATTGAAAGCTTCTCACCCTCCCAAAAAGGGAACTCCCTAACAATAACTGCTCTTAATTTAAAGCCTTCTTCCTTTGAATATAAGTTTACATTACTTTAAATGTATTCATGTAAATGTTTTCAAGGGCACAAACGGCATTCAATCAGACCTTCGCCCCATCTGCCCAAGCAGGTAGATGCACACAGAACATCCATAATCATATCTTTACAAACCCAACACACTAATACCAAGACACACACTAAGAAATAGGGCCTCAGGTGAAATCCTGCATGTGCTTATCTCCTTAAAATAAAATGCATGCCTCTCCTGCAGGTGCCTGCAAAAACTGTGTGTGGACATCGATACAGAACTGCACACATGTCAGACTTTTCTCTGCCCAGGCCTAGGAGCTGTAGGACATCCAGGCTGCTGGAGGCAGAAGGCTGTGAAACACTTTCTCCATTTGATTTCTGCTCTGCATGAAAATGCTTTCAACTAGCAAGCCATTAAAGAGAATATTTCAACATGCTCATGCACTTATCAAACCTTAATATGTAATGTTACTATCTCCTTTTGGAGAAGCAATTGATACTCAAAGGAAGGAGAAAACTGCAGTGGGAATTCTCCATGGCAGAACTCCCATCTGAGGCCTATGGGAGCGGCCTGCAGGCATGAAAGGCTTTGGAGAGGGAAGAGCCTGGAAGGATGGGGTGAGGTGTAAGGAGCAGAAGCTCAAAACATGGCTTTGCTCCTCCTGTAGACTCGGTCAAATCACCTGCTGCCACCTGTCACAGTCACAGGGTCCCAGAGGGGTGAGGCCTGAGCCTTTCCAAGTCTCCCATCTGTGAGACGCTATGTTGGCTCCTCTGCCAGGGCAGGTCCAGGGATGCTGAGATGGGACTGACTATCAGCACTAGGCCAGCATCACCAAGACATGTAGCTGTCCTTGCAGACATGTGATCAGCCTGGGATGAGAGCTGACAGGCTCAGCATGCCTGGCACAGAGGCACCTGGGCCAAGTATCCACAAGGACCCTACTATCAATGAGCCTCCATGGTCACTGCACTAGACTCAAACAGCTTTCCCCACTGGTCCTGATCAGCATGCCAGGAGTCTCCTCAACGGGCAGCCAGCCCCACAGGGTCCATACAGTATGACAGTGCACAGGCCACAGCAAGCCTCCCCAGTGAGCCCAGAACACAGCCCCTCCTGCAATTCAAGGAACCATGAGGAAATAAAACCCCATCCTAGGGCCTTTAAACACCTAAAGCCCATTGGCTACGTAGAGAAAGAGAGATACTGCAGAAAGAACACGGCATGAAGATTTGTAGAACTGGGTTCTAGGCCTGCGCTGGAAGAGGCTGGAGCTTCTACTTCCTACTCCCTGGATCTCTTTAGGGAAGCTAGCTCACATGTTGCAGAGAGGTTCAAGCCAGCCATGTGGAGAGGCTCCATGTAGAGAGGAGGCCCCATGAACCCCAGACTTGTGCAAGCCATGGTATAGGACATTAAGAAAAAACAAGGAACCCAGCCGACCGCCTAAACCAAAGCCTTAGCCACACAGCCACCTCCAGACACTCATGTGCTCAGCAGAAGTCCTGGTCACCAGGGAGTACCAAATCCCTGACTCACCAGTCACAAGCATTATAAAGTGATTGTTGATTATGTCACTCAGTTTTGGGATGGGTCACTTTGGGTCACTAGGCAACAATTGATAACAAAAGGAATCATCATTCAAACTCTACAGCACTAAAATATGAGTGAGTATTATGAAGAACTTGATTACAAATGGCTTATAAAAGTTAGGGAAAATGAGCAACATCCAAGAAAAATACAACTTATTAAAACTAACTCAGGGAGTCAGCAGGTGGCATAGTGGTTAAGGCACTGAACTCCCACATGGCTAGCTGTGGTTTGAGTTCTGGACCTAGTAGCTTGAAACTCATACTGGGTGTGTGTGTGTGTGTGTGTGTGTGTGTGTGTGTGCCCAAAAGCCCAAGAAGGGAATGGAGAAGAAGGGATTGCAGCGTGGCCATCCCCCTGGGGTAGGAGGGTGGTGATTTCTCACTCTCCCCCTCACTATCTCTCTCCAGAGAATTCATGTGTTCTACGGCAAAAACATAAAAAGAAAAAAATAAATAAACTCAGGAAAATATGGAGAATGTGATTAAACCACAAATATTATTAAAGAATTAGAGTTAGGAAGAAAAATCATCCTACAAAGAACACTGCATGCCTAGACAGCTTCTCCAGAAAGTTCAACCCAACCTTCAAGAACACTTAACACTTGTCAGGAAGATGATAAAGGAGGAAAAGTGTATGCCAATCTTACAGATGAAGGTGTAAAAGTTCTAAGTAAAATGTGAATAGCTCAATCCAACAAGTAATATGGCAAAATCAAGCTGGATTTCTATTGAGAATACAAAGATGATTTGGTGTGTGAAACTCAGTTAATCCACATCATTATCATTATTATTATGTTAGCCGGGGCATGTGAGCTCATGAGAGATAGAGAGATAGAGGTGGGGCGTGGGAAGGAAAGCACCCCCAGTGGGGTACGGTTGTGCTGCCACTGGGATTTGGGGCACACACATCTGGCATGATTTCCATGCCACTGGATCTGGGATCTGAGGTGTAATCAGCCATGTGACATCCAGTTCCCTTAACCAGTAAGCCACACGATTGGTTCTGCAATCATGACGTTAATAAGCAAGAGAAACACACTTTCTGAAGAAAGTTCATGGAAAATGCATATTGTGAAAAACACTACAGATTTCTACACTTTTTTTTGTATCAAAATGAACCTGTACTTTAACCCAATTTTCTACCAACTTTTTGAAGTGCCCTCATGAGCTGTGACTCCTATCACATAAAGTCCAATCACAGGCAAAGTCAAACTATACTTAGGGATGTATGCCTACATGGCAAAGCTAAAAAGAAAAGGACAGCATTATTTTGAAAAACAGGAGAGCAGGGGGGCTAGCCGTTGAGGAAGGCCAGAGTAACTGAGAGGCACCTCTACTTCTTCCCCGGGGATGTCAGACGGACGAGCAGTTACCCTTGAACATAAGCACTTACTCTTCTGTACAAAAAGACAGATCTCACAGGAGAAATGTATCAGAGTGGGCCAGCTGGCTGCAGTGGTGAAATGCAAGGCTCTGTGAGGCTGACCCATGTGGGAAGGTTCTGAATTCCCACCTAGAGGCCTCCCTCAATGCGCCTGGCAGGCTCAAACCTGTATCACGTAAACCCATATCCAGGGCTGGCAAAAGCTGGGGATGGGTCACAGCATTAAGGCCTTGTCAGTGTGTACCTCTTACTCTCTGTCTCACTCACAGAATAAAAAAACTTCAAAAAGTATATTAAAAAACAATTAGGCAAGGGAACCAGCAGTTAGCGTAATGGCTATGTCACTGGACTCCCACGTAGTTGACCGAGGTTCGCGTCCTGGACCTGGTGGCTTAAAACTCACACCGGGCACGTGTGCGTGCGTGCCCAAGATCCCGAGAGGAGAGTGGAGGAGAGGGGATTGCGGCGTGGCCACCCCCCTGGGGTGATTTCTCGCTTTCTGTCTCTCTGTCTCTCTCTGTCTGTCTGGCGAGCACACGTGCCCTATAGCGAAAACTTCTCAAAAACAAAACAAAAAAATAAAAAATAAATAAACAATTAGGCAATGGAACTAAAAAAAATAAATAAATAGGGGCCAGCAGGCAGTGGAGTGATTGAGGCACTGAACTCCCACGTGGCCAACTGCAGTTGGAGCCTCACACCTGGCTGCTTAAAAATCACACCAGGCACAAGTGCGTGTGCGCCTCAAATCCTTTTTCTACCTTTTTTTTTAATTTACAGTAACTTACTATACATCAATACAATATACAAAATGAGATTTTTTCATCCAGTATACATTGTGTACTGGCTTAATCAAGGTTATTACCATACATGTTATCATCAACAAATAATTTTCTATTTCTTGCTTCTTACATATTTTGCTTTTATTTCCCTCCTTGATTCCCTATCTCTCACCCTCTGCCAACTCCCCCCGCCTTCCCCCACATTGCCTTTGGTATATACAGCTGTTTTCCATACCATTTTTTTCATATTTTATTGATTCACTAAAGATCTTAATTTTAAGATTTTCAATATCAAGCGCAGCTTGTATATACATATTTAAGAATGCATGTCTGACTTTCAGCATAAACCTCAATGAGTAAAGTGAACATACTATAAAGTAGCACCTTGCTGGAGCTATGTAACTTACTGCAGTCATTAAATAGGTATTAAGAGGCATTTTTTGATGCATTTTTTAATCTCAAAAATGTTTTAGTTTTAATTGATCAAAATTCAAAAATGTTAAGAGAAATTTGCTTAAAACTTAAAAATATATAAAAGCCAAGAAAAAGCTTAGGATTCAGTTCAAATAGTAGGTAGATGAACCTACCAACAGTTCAAGAGAAGATAAATATCCTTAAATATTGTGTGCCCAAAATCTTGACAGGAGAATGGAGGAGAAGGGACTGCGGTGTGGCCATCCTCCCAGGGTGGTAGTGGGGGGCGGGGGGTTGATTGCTTACTTTCCTTCTCTCTGTATCTCTCTGTCTCTCTCCAAACATTAACTAAAATAATAAATAAATGCCAGCAATGACAACAGACTGTGCTCACATTTCAATCACAATGGGATGAAGTAGCCACTCTGATTACGTACATGAAACAACTAATGACAACTGCAACCAGCGAACTTTCTGCGACAGTCAGATTGGAGGGCTAGCGACCCACACATGTGGGACAGCCACACGGCTGAATCAGGGAACGTAGCCAGAGGCTTTATATTCCTTGCCAACGAGCAGAGAGAGATGAGGAGGTACCAGAAGCCCAGGAAGCCAAGAGTGAGGGAGAGGAAGGGAGTCAGTGGGAGGCCCCCGAGGGGTACACCTGCTACCACTCCTCCATCTGGCTGAGCCTCGGCTGGAACTGCA